TGAAACACTGAATGAGCGATTACATGAGACATTTCAGTAAGATGTACTGTATCTTATAATATACCTTTTGATGTCCATTCATGTTTATTTCGTACTATATATTAAAGAGAAAGATATGATGGGTTCACGTGCCGCTTGAACTGAGGCGCTAAAGCGATCGCTCTGCCACATTAAAGAGTGTCAAAACGGCGAAGTCGGAGTCACGTAGATAATCCGTCAAGTCCTCTCCCAATAAAGACGTTCACCCTCACACAAAATTCACAATTGTGTATATGCTTTTTGCCAGATTTTGCCAGATCACCAAACAACTGTAAATGCAAACACACCTTTAGTTCTTCCTTGTGTTCCAAATCAATAAATAATATATTTTTTACATAGTGTAAAAAGTTGCATCAGCTATTGAAAAATCCCTATCAGTTATCTACTAATAATAACGCGCTATCAATGCCTATTTTTCTAAACCCTTTCTAAAGTAAACCAGACCTTAGGTCTGTGTTTGTCCATTCCAGACTGCTTGTTTGTATCTAGGAAGGAGCAGAGTTACACTGTTACCTGGGACTGGGTGCAGGCCGGGTCCACTAGGTTCTGACAGGCCATCTGGATCGACTGTTTGGCTCTGGCGAACTGTGAGGGGTCCACAAGACCCTTCTGCCCAGCGTGACTGTTCGGGTCAGACACACCCACCAGATACGCCCCCTGTGAGAGACACATCAACAGAACACCCGTCAATTCAAACATTCTCACCATGGATATTACTGTGAAGCTGCTTTGAAACAATCTGTACTGTATGAAGGTGTCTTGACAATAAAAGGAACAGTTCTCAGCTGATGTACACATCAACAAAACCTCCATAAACAATATGGCATACCCCACAAAAAAATAAGTATTTTGCCGAAAATTCTATTAACAAAAATGAAAAATTCTGTTTACAGCTTTAAGAGAGACCAGCAAGGCAAATGTGTTTGTTCATTTAATGCGCTCCTGTAACTCCAGATGTTTGATGCATCATAGCCCTGGTACAGGCCCTAATTTAATAGAGAGGAGTTTCTCACACGTGCACACACACACACACACACACACACGAACACACACACAAAAACACACACACACACACACAGTGTTTTTACCTGAGCCGCTGCCCCAGTGAGACCACACAGCGCTTTAGATGCTGAACTGACTGAGTCTCCAAATTCTGGCAAGTTACTGTTCTTGGCATTATGGGAAATGCCAGCCATGGCCTCACCCAAAACCTGCACACGACATCAACATAAACACACAGCTTTAGCTCAACACTGCGACTGGGTGACATAGCTCTTCATAGTGAAGCTGATCTGTGTCGCACCTTTGAGTTCTCCATCACACTGTCAATACAGTCGAAGTAGCCCATATCACTGACCGCTTCAGTGGGATTCTCCAGCATTCCTCCGACCGTCTGCGGACACACTCACAGTTACAGTAGCACACACAACACACAAAACACAGGCAGCACACGGATATTGCTCTGAAGTTTTTATGTTCAGGTTTTAGGCTTTAGTTCTGCCTTAAATTCTAGAGAGAGCAAATGCTACTTTGTTATTAACATTCAGTGCTGTTTAAATAAATGTCTACACTAGAACAACGCTTTTATCTAAAATACAAAGTATGAATGGATTCTGTATGTTTTAGCTGAGAAGAAAATTGAAAACAATGCTGTCTTGAAAATGTGTTCTGTTGCTTTGCTGACATTTCCAGTATCATCCAAAAACAGCACAACAAGTTACTGCCGCTCAATATCAAACACGATTTCAAGTCATGCAGCATACACGCATACGGAAGAACATGTCTATACAAAAACGACATATTTTTGAAGTATTTGATTACATTATTCTACAAAAGGGACAAACACATGGCACAAAAGGTGTCATCTCTCCTCATAAAACCCTGATAAAACCCCAGTGCTGAATATGAGAGAATCAAACACTGCATATGAGAGCGAGTCACTCACACAAACTGATGAACACAGAAAAGATGAGAAGTAAAAGAGAGAGCAGAAGCACCTCAAGCTCACGGAGAGCGTTGTCACACTCCTTCTGTCCCGGAGCCTGCTGGGTACACATGCTGATCAGCTGATTAATGCTGTCTGTCACCGCGCTAATCGAGAGAGAGAGAGAGAGACATTAGAGTTTGCTAGGAAGGGAAGGAATAGTGCGAGAGATCTGTGAGGAACAGTCCACCCACGTGTGCTACCACACACTAACTCTCTCTCTCTCTGATGCTCTGTGAGTTTTTGGATTGCGAGCGCTGTAAAGCCATTAGCTGCTGTTGTTTCATCCCATCTTCCTCTTTCCCTCACACACACATCAGAGAGCAGCAGCGATACAAACAGGTTTGCTTTATAGATGCCTATTACATAACTGTGCTCATTCCAACCCAAATGTGTATAAAAGCGAGCATGCCACTTATGTAATGTATGTCAATAGAGGAGCTGTGTGTGTGCTCGAGTGCACAGTTTCTTTCTTACTACCACAGGCACTGTTAGGCTACATGCCATCACACAGCACAGCATCTGACTCGATTCTCTAAAGAAAGAGTGCAGGGCTCTGCTCCAAATCACAGCGAGCTGACACGAAGATGGTTTCAAATAGTAGTTAGGATAACCTTCTTTTGGCCAAATTCTAAAGATGCGCTCACATTTACCGTTGCTCTGTGAAATTCTGTGTGAAATCCAGTGATTCCTACTGGTCTGTAGGTCTGTGTGAGCTGTGTTTCATACATCTCTACGCTACAGACAAATTTTGCTGCAGTTTTGTTAATGTGATCGCACCATTAACCAGCATCCCGTTTCCCAATCCCAGAATGCTTTGCTACAAGCTAAGGGTGTTGCAATAATAACCATGAAATTTCAAAAATGAAATATTGATATAATGTGAATACCTGGACCACAAAACCAGTCATAAGGGTCAATTTTTAGAAATTGAGGTTTATACATCACCTGAAAGCTGAATAAATAAGCTTCCATTGATGTATGGTTTGTTAGGATCGGACAATATTTGGCCGAGATACAACTATTTGAAAATCTGGAATCTGACGGTGCAAAAAAATCAAAATATTGAGAAAATCATCTTTAAAGTTGTTCAAATGAAGTTCTTAGCAATGCATATAACTAATTTAAAAAATTTAGTTTTGATATATTTACAGTAGGAAATTTACAAAATATCTTCATGGAACATGATCTTTACTTAATATCCTAATGATTTTTGCCATAAAAGACCCATACGATGTATTTTTGGCTATTGCTACAAATATACCCCAGTGACTTAAGACTGCTTTTGTGCTCTAGGGTCACAATATGATAATATTGTAAATAATCTAGCACCAAATATAACTAGGTGACAATCCATCATAGCAGGTGGCACTATTACACCTTAACACTGTTTGCCAAAAAATGAAAGACGACGATGCCATGGCCGTCTAAAATCACATACTTCTTCTATTGAATAAGTACTTAGCAAATGTTAAAAAAGTACGTTCTTATATAGTATGAATATAATCCGGACAAACCACATTCATCATGTAGTCATTGTCATGTGACCTACCAGCATCAGTTGCACTACTTCACTGCCATTAGTAAAGTGTCCATCAGATTCCCTTCATGAACGGGTTGCTCACGTTTGTACAAAATGCCGTTCCTATTTGCACAATGCTGTTCAAGGGTGTAAAAACTCTTTGAAATCCACCCTTCTTCTACTTTTATGTTTTAAATGGAATATTATTGAAGTCATCCAAAACTTCCAGTCACTATTTCTGTGCTTAATATCATATTTTTGAATCTATACGGATTCTTGATGACAAAATATGAATTGAAAAGCAGAAGACGGCTGATTCTAACCGAGCGGCAGCAGCGAGCTGGTTTTTGAGGTTGGGTGAGTTGGGGTCTGTGGACAGAGCTTTAGCAGCCAGCAGGAGTTTGCTGGAGGACATGGAGATGGTCTTCAGGTTGGTGACCACTTGAGTCTGGTCCTCTTTCGACTACAGGAAGAGACGAGAGGAGAAGACAACACTCATCTATCAATCAAGTGTCAGATGACTCTCTCAGGGTCTTGTCTTAATGAAAAACTAGCACATCTTTAATATTTCCACTTAATACATAGCACTTGTATCAGTAACCTATAATATCATACATCAAATGATTCTATAGCTAGAGTAATCCAGCAGTAGGTTATGAGTGCAAGTGCTATAGTCTTGATAAAATGAATTTGACTGTCCATACCTGCGACTGTCCAGCCATGTCCTGAACAGGCCTTTAGATAGAGCTGGACAGTTTTTGTGCAACGAATTGTGTTACATAAGGCACTTTAGACAAAAGTCACAGGACCATCCAGATGACAACAATATTGCAAATTGCATTCTGGAAAATACTTTGTGAAATATCTTTATGGCCAGGGGGCTCACTTTATTAGAAAGGAGTTTCTTGCTGGCTTCTCCTACAGTTCTGATGGCATTATCCACATCTCTCTGCCCCGGCAGACAGTTTACAGAGCGGTTCAGAGCCTGAGACACAGCCTTAGCTACCTGCAAACACATGCACACACACACACACACACACACACACACACTCGTCATCAGCAGAACATTTAAGATGCTTCTCCAGTTATGCTAATCATAGACACACAACAGGCAATTTTTTTTTCAGAATAATGGGCACATCACCCTACGGCAGACCAAATCTCCCATCAGCAATTAAAAGGGAGGTTTCGTTACTCAATTTAAACCCACTCTATTGAGCTATTCTCATTAAGTACTCTAAATGAGGTTGGGTTTAACCTGGGCCAGTCTCTGCTGGCTGTCAGGGTCTCCCGGTTTGGCAATGGCTCTCTTGGTCTCCTCGATCAGGCTGGCGGATTTGTCCATGACATCCGCGGTGCAGTCCAGCATGGCGTTACGGGCATGAGGGTCCTCGGTGTTGGCAGCCACTCCACGAGCAGCCGAAGCCAGCGAACGCAGAGCCTGAGCCACGTCACGAGCAGCCATACCTGCAAAACACACGTAAACCATCCAGAAACAGACATTAGGAGAGATTGAGGGTGCCCACAATGAACACATGACTAACCCTTATGGGTTTCAAACCTGCAACATATGGGCTGAGTTACGAGAAAGATCTTCAACCACTATGTCACACCGCCTGCCTGTGCTTGTTACAGCAGCGACAGATGAATAATATATTCCACAGACAGGGGGCGCTGCATAACATGCCATCGGACATGGGCTTGATCATAACCTCTGAACAGACTGACAAAGTGCTGAAACTAGCCAAGAGTTGGCAGCATGTGAGATTGATGGGGTTACCTGTGTAGTTCTCATTGCCTTGGGTGGCTTCACTGAGGAGCTGAGCAATAGCAGAGCTCACGGCTTTAGTGCTGGAGCCCAGATCCTGAGAACACTTCTCCAGCTACACACACACACACACACACACACAGAACTGTGTTAAAGGAATCATATTTTTATATTTCAGAAAGCATGCTCAAACAGGCCTATGGGTATCAATAATACAAGCTGAAGGAACACTTTGTGCTTTTCATTCACAATGTACCTTTTTAGAATTGAAAATAAAACAGTATTCACTAACTGTTAGTGAATACTGTAGTGACTAACATTACATTGGGTGTAAAATTACAGTACACAATATATCAGTGGTTCTCAACCCTTTTGACTGCAAGGCAATATTGTTTCAATAATACTATATCTATATAAAGCCCGAAAAAGCTTTTTTAAGAATGAATGAATTTACATGACTTTTCCAGTTAATCATGATTTAGTGGATTTCACAATTTCTATCTGATAAAATATTTTAGAATTTGCCATAACTACATAAATGTGACTCTTGCTGGCAAAATGAGTTGGAATGTGCACGGGCTAATTTTGAGCTACAGGCAAAAGAAGTGAAAAATGTCGATTTTAGTTGATTTTTAGGTTTTCACAAAAATTCGTTCATTAAGCCCTCGTCTAGCGATCCCAATGCTCCAAATATTAATTATAGATTTTAATTACACGATCCTGATAAATATACACATATACACAGAATTACAGTATTTTTTACATTTGATTATTTGTTTTTCTTGAATGCTTTTGTTTAGATGTAAAATGAAAAAGGTAATGCATTATTTGTTTCTTATATTTGTTCTGTTCTTATTTATAATATTTATAATAACAAAGATAAAATAAAAAATTGCTATATTGTGACTATTAATATAGTAATTATTATTAAGAAAAGAAGTGCAGGAAAAGATGCTGCAGGTGATTTTGCTTTGGAACCTTCAGAAAACTTTAACTCGATTTTTCTCAGAATTGACTTTGCTGACTTCAAACAGGTGTAGCTAAGTCATTTTTTTGTCCGATTCCAACAAATCATACATCATTAATGTAGAATGTGAAAATGAAGAGAACTCATTTTTGAAAATTTGCTCATTGTGACTCATTTTGCCAGCACAGGTCACATATGTATATTCATTATGAAAATACCCATGGACATTTAAGATCATCTGTCATCAGCAACATAGCTTATACAAGAAACAAAATGTTTCTAAGCTAAAGCGTGCTCGAAAAGACAAGTAAATATCTGTCTGTGTAGTGGCTTCTGTCTAGCAGCTGTTTTTGTGACATGCAGCTCCTGACTTGTGGGTATAGGTGTGAAAACTGACAGATAAATATCATGTCTGCACAAACATTTGAACACACATACTCATTCTTCAATATTACTATTTTCCACATTTAGAGTCATCGCAAAAACAATGGAACAACACAAAGGGAAGTTTTGAAATTATGTAGTATTATGTATTTTCTCAACTAACTTTCTCAGGCGCATCCTGGGATGCTTTTTGAACAGTACTGAATGAGTCTGCATGCGTGCTGGACACTTATTGGCTGCAGGTATGTTCAGTGCATGTACTGTTCGCACACATACTGTGTACTGATGCACTCACCGTTTCTCCAGGCAGGGGTTTGAGTTTGCCTTCAGAAGCTGAAGCTTTGGCCTCCTGCATGTCCCTCTCCAGCCCCCGTACCATTGTGAGAGCGTTATCAATCTCCAGAGGACCGCACGCCTCCTGAGCCTGAGTCAGACAGAGACAGAAGGCAGACAACCATGTGAAATTACATGTTCACCGGGCCTCTGTCATGTTCACTTACTTTCTATACATGTGTATATCACAGTTCTAGAAGAATGGACCCCATTTACTTTCTAAATAATATGTGGATGATTCATCTGTGGATATAACTGGCTTCATTATCTTTCATTGAAATGTAATAACTTGCTCTTCCTCTGAAATGACTTTCCTATTTGGCGGATGACACCAAGCTCTCATATTGTACAACCTCTCCCCTCCATCCACCTGTCAAATATAGATCATTCAAACAAAAGTTTCCTACATTTTTTCTAGTTGAATATTATGGTATATTATGGAATGTGTCATGCTACAGAAGTAAAATGACGTCCTTTTGGTTCAAAATATTAATCAGTAAGTGTGTCATCACCAGGGCACAGGTAGAGAATCTGTATCCAAAAAAACCCATGCATTTCTTATTTAATAAATAAATAAATAAATAAATAAAATATGTGCACTATATGTGCAATGCACATTTTATCTAATCTTAAGTTCATTCTGTAGAATTTAACGGATTCCCCCCCAAAATACAGCACATTGAAAATGTCCCCAGATTATGTCTAATAATAATAATCAAAATAATAAAATATATATATATATTTTTAAATCAATAAAGAAATATATTACTAATAGAATAACAATACTGCTCTGTAAATAAAAAAAACAGGTATTTAATGTAATAAAATAATATTAAAAAATATAAATTTTATTATTATTTAAATTATGACAATTAAACAAATCAATAAAGGGATATATAACCATAGCAATAATGCTATTGTACTGTAAGATAAAAAACAAGAATTGAATAATAATGATCATATGGTACCTTCTGTGAGGCCGATCGCAGCTCAGCGAGAGCGCTGGCCAAGGTTTTGGAGCACTGACTGAGCTGCATGGCAGACGCCTGGTCACTGATGGTGGGAACCGTAGCTTTGGCCGCGGTCACCATTTTCGCTCCGGGCTGATGAAGAGAACAGACACCATGAGCTCAAATGATGCAGACTTGCACGTTATAACAGGAAGTGAAGGTCAGAAGAGTGAAAGGACCTGCAGGAAGTTCTGACTGGCTCCGATCAGGGCGAGCTGGGCGCTGGGGCTGTCGGGCTGAGCCTGGCTCCCTCTCACACCCCGAACCAGCTGAGGGATCTGATCCGCCACCCCCTGCAAACACATCAACATGCTGTTCATGCCGAGTTATTCCTTGAGGTTTTCAGTCAAGGGCTTACGTCATTATCTAGGCCGTGATAACAATCATAACACTCTGTAAGCGGGAAAACTGTGGTGATTTAACAAAAATAAGTGTTAAGCAGAGTTATGCTTTATGTTTCATGTGTTCACATCAGTCGTTCACAAACACACAGCGCTCATGTGAACTGGTTTTAACCCGAGAGAAACAGGAAGTGGGTGTTGCCATGGCACTCACCTTGCAGCTCTGCACGAGTTGTTGCTGGGCCGCAGGGTTCTTGTTGGAGGAGGCGGCGTGCTGCGCTGCAGCGATAGTCTGAGTGCCGGCCGCCGCGGCCTGTTTCGCTGCATTCTGACGAACAGATATGACAAACATATTTATTATAAAAACCACAGATAGAGCTACCTATAGCTGCTTATGCAAGACCCAAATTCTATCTACCTGAATAAGGAAATTCCGAAATCCAAAAACTGCTTGTTACACCCTCATTTAAATCAGTATTTCAAATCAGTAATAAAATCTGACATCAACTGAGCCTTTAATGTGGTTTCTTATCCTCAAATTGGCGAGTGGCTCTTTTATTTAGAAAGCGGGACTTATTCTGCCACGTTGCGGATTGCATTTCCTCTCATTCATATTCTATTCTGTTTTATTTATATAGCACGTTTAAAAACAACAGACATTGGCCAAAGTGCTTTACAAATCAGACATAGCACATACAGTCTAAAATTATAAAACACAGTAACACATCACAAAAATAGATCAAATTAATTACAGTCAAATGCAAGAGAGAAGAGATAAGTCTTTAAATGAGCTTTAAAAACATCAAGAGTGGCACAAGATGTAACATGGAGAGGTAAACTATTCCATAAACGAGGAGCTGCAACAGAAAAGGCCCCGTCTCCTTTTGATTTTAATCGAGACTTGGGTGCTATTCATAGTAAAATGAGTGAACCGTCTTGTATGTATCCACTACTAGGCAAAATTTTGGAATAAATACTTAATGTTTTAAAAGGTCTCTTTTGCTCACCAAGTCTGCATTTATTTATTTCTCTTTAAAATAAGGTTATTTTGTTTTTTTTGTTTTTTTACAATTTTAAAACAATCAAGTGACACTAAAGACTGGAGTAAATTCATAACAGTAATACATTACATTTTGAAATATACTCAAACTGTAATTGTAATAATATTTCACAACTTTTACAGGACTTTTAATCAAATAAATGCATCCTTGGTGAGCATAAGAAGCGACAGTTCTAATTGGTTGTTAGGGTCTTTTGCCTGGTTACTAGGTGTAGTTCTGTCTGGCTGTTGGTTATTAGACATTGTTCAGTTTTGTATTTAGTGGCCGCTCTGCATTGTTAGAGCTAGGCTGTTCTAGCTGGCTGCTAGGCCTACGTGGGTCTTCTGGAAAGTCACTAGAGTATTTTGGCTGGCTTCTAGAGGTCTCTGGCAGGTCGCTGATAGGACAGGCAGCCAGTTAGAGACAGACGGACAGATATCACAAAAAATTAAACCATAATTCTTCAGGGTTGTACACTGTTCTTTTTACTGCAGATAATAAGCAAGCTGAAACAGAGGTAAAACAGAGGTCTGTGGAGTTTGCGAAACCTGTTGTCTTTCTCACAAGTTGCAACAAGTTACTTGTGAATCTGCAACACTGAGCTATACACATTGCAGTCTTTAAAAACGCGATAAATCTTTTTCACTGGAGCCTTTGGCAAGATTTAACTCCATGAGCTATAAACATAGACTGTATAAAAACATGGACGTAGTGTCCGTGACGTCACCCGTAGGGTTCTGAAGATCTTGGCAGCGCGTCACCGCGCTGAATTACAGTTTAAGTCACTTCCTTGTTGGCTTCACGAGAGAGAGCGGGAGGTTGCCGCTCGGCTATAAAACATATAACTTTACCCAAATAGGGCAGCAAAGAGATGTTATAGTTGGCAACACTTCTAGAATTCATCTCGGTACAGGCAGTTATTTTCATCTTTGTGTTCTTGAAGGTTTGGCCTTGTGCGCGTCAGTCCTCACCTCCAGTTTGTTGACCAGTCTCTTTTTGATGGCATTCTGTGCCGCAGCGTTGGTGGCCATGCGCAGACCCTCGGCAGCTTCACGCAGCTTCTGCTGCTGCTCCTCGCTGTCTGGGTTAGCAGCCGCACCCTGCCGGCACACACAACAAACACTCAGCTCCATGCACAGCTATCCAGTCTAAAAGCACACCCAGAGGCGTCTTCTGTCCCACCTTCGCAGCTTCCACCATCTTGGCCGTGGCGTCAGCCAGGAGTTTGGCCGCAGACAGGAGTTTGCGGGAGTTCTCCAGGTCAGTCTCGCCCTCCGCGTCGGCCTTGATAGCATTGACTAAATCTGAGGTGGCCTGAGCAAGGATCCGGGCCTGTCGCACCATCTCCCCTGAACACAGAGAGGAACGCATTTATACATACGTCAACATCCAAAGGTCTTTAAATGTGACTTTAGCACAAGTCTCTGCACATCAGTTCAAACTACATTAAACACGGACTATTAAATGTTTCTGTTTTGACATTCAGAAGGCACTTTTATATAAAGTATAAGTTATATAAATCAGTGTTGGGGTAATGCATTACAAGTAACGCAAGTTATGTAATCAGATTACTTTTTTCAAGTAACTAGTAAAGTAACGCATTACTTTTTAATTTACAAGAAAAACAACAAAATATCTGAGTTATTTTTTCAAACAACAGCTCTCACTGACAGCTCTCCTGTCCTCATGTTGAGAGAATTGTGATCCTGGAGCACAAAAGCAGTGTTAAGTCGCTGGGGTATATTTGTAGCAATAGCCAACAATACATTGTATGGGTCAAAATGATAGATTTTTCTTTTATGCCAAAAATCATTAGGATATTAAGTAAAGATCATGTTCCATGAAGATATTTTGTAAACTTCCTACTGTAAATATATTAAAACTTAAATTTTAATTAGTAATATGCATTGCTAAGAACTTCATCTTCAACTTCATCCTATCCTAACAAACCATACATCAATGGAGAGCTTATTTATTCAGCTTTCATATGATGCATAAATCTCAATTTCGAAAAATTGACCCTTATGACTGGTTTTGTGGTCCAGGGTCACAAATCAGGAGTGAGTGCAGAGGCGTTGTGTGCGCTGTGTGCTATCTGTAGTTCTAGACTAAATGAGAACTTGCATTTACTCATCTCACTTGCACAAAAACTGATTTAATAATCCTCAGAATGAATAAAAACAATAAAAATGACTCAAAACGAATAAAAACTCCTAAACACTGCCACTTCATGTTTGGAGCACTAGGGTAGCTGAAATATGGGCAGACAGTGAAGAAACAGCTTAAACATGCTCCTAGTACCTGCGTCCCCCATGGAGCTGAAGATGTTATCCGTCACGTCCAGGATGCGGTCAGTGGCCTCTCCGTGCCGTCCGATCGGCTGTCCTCCGCTGGCGTACTGTCTGATATGCTGCAGCAGCTCATTAAGAGTCTGAGTGACACCTGTGGCAGCCACGCCCACCTGTCTGAGCAGCTGCTCGTCATTGGCCGCCCCCTGTGACGCCTCCACACAGCCCTTCACAGACTTAGCCACCAGCTTCCCCGCCTCGACGAGCTGCTCCTGACACACAGGTGAGCTGATGGTGGGAGCCACCACCTGAAACACAGATAAAACACACACGCATGAGCATCAGCTGAGATCAGCGAGTCTGTCTGTGAATGAGTCCGGTGTGAACACTCACTCGTGTGCAGGCCACCAGCTGTGACGTGGAGAGGGCGCACTGGGTGGCAGCAGCAATCACTCGGTTCTGTTGAGTTGAATCCTCTGTTTTCTGAGCCACATTCTTGGCCTTTAACACCAGAGCTGCCGCTGCATTAGCCACAGCCTTCGCCAACTGCATCAACATGTCCTGCACACACACACACAATTAAACAAGCTAGTTAACTTAATTAGACAGATATAATATGTGACCCTGGAGCACAAAAGCAGTCATAAGTAGCACAGGTATATTTGTAGCAATAGCCAAAAATACATTGTATGGGTCAAAATGATCCATTTTTCTTTTATGCCAAAAATCATTAGGATATTAAGTAAAGATCATGTTCTATGAAGATAATTTGTAAATTTCCTACTGTAAATATATCAAAACTTAATTTTTGATTAGTAATATGCATTGCTAAGAACTTAATTTAGACAACTGTAAAGATGATTTTCTCAATATTTAGATTTTTTTGCACCCTCAGATTCCAGATTTTCAAATAGTTGTATCTCGACCAAATATTGTCCTATCCTAATAAACCATACATCAATGGAAAGCTTATTTATTCAGTCAAATTGCTAATAAATACTCAGCAGAGAAAACTTTGAGAATGACCCAGATACGAGCACTACACACTATACAGAGAGCTGTAAAGCTGTCAGATACAGCGCTAGAATCACTATAAACGCTTCAAAGAACAAGTAGTGTTGTACATAAACAGAGGGCAGGGCGGCACTAGAAATGTCCTGTTCAGAATGATTTCCATTAAACCTCACGTTACCAAATGCGTTAAACTTGTTCTGATAAGCGTTCTGTCCAAATAAGGACATGCACACGACTGTAGCACAAAACTTTCCCTTCAGTTCGGCTGTGTGAAGAGTGATAAGACATTCTCAACCAAATATAGAGGGTTTGTTTCGAACATTATCACATTAGAACCGATAAACGACTTCAGAACATTCAGAACCATTTCAACTGTCACAGCTATGAGATCCATGAGCCCAAACCACACATATGGAAGACATCACGAAAACAAAATCATGCTCATTTGCTTTTAACAGCAACAACTGTAGGCTAATGCAATCCTAAACATTTGAAAAAGTGTCTCTCTTTCAAGGAATATATATAGACCCAGAGAAATTGATGATTCAAAATACGCAGGAGAAATGCTTTCTACAACAAGAACCTCCTCCTAATTCACCTGCCTCTCACTAAATCTGCATGGCATCAGTGTGAATCAAGCCTGGTTTTGTTTTAGTGTTGCGCACACCACTGTGCTCCAGATATAGGACACTGCAGAGCAGATCATTTGCACAATCAGCTTTGCCTTAATATCACATCTCACACCACAACATGCATCTGACCCATTTCAATGCTACACAGAATATTCTGTTTTAAAGCGCTATGGAGGAGATTAGTGCTGGGCGGTATGACCAAAAATTTATATCACGGTATTTTTCAAAATTATACTGGTTTCACGGTACATGACGGTATTTTTTTTTCATGCATGACCGGGTGTTAACCATATTTTCTACTGATTGAGAGGAAATACTGCAGTATATTGACTTAGAATGCCCTATTTTACTGTCATGATGGGTGAATATTGTCAAAAAATACCACACTAAATAGTGACTAAACACGACCCCTTTTAATACATGTTAACCAGGAGTCACTCTCATTTATAATCGCGGCATCGTCTGATAAAATCAACATGCATCTACATTAAAGAGCGTAAAATATTACTTTTTTGTCTCATGCAGCGCACTGCCTGCGTCTGAGTAACAAACAAAAAAAATAGATTTGAATCATGTGTAAACAAAAAACATATTTGAACCATGTGTAAACAAAAATATAACCTAATAAGTTACAATTAAGGCGTATTGAATGTTAAAATGTGTTTTAAACAAAGTTAAGTGCTTATTACCCATTTTACTCTTAGTAATTTAATAATTTAATACATTTCATAATTTATTTTAAAAGTTTAGTTCAGAAGTATCGAATCGGTATCGATATCGACGATACTGCCTTGAAAAATATCGGTATCGTATCGAAAACAAAATAAGTGGTATCGCCCATCCCTAGTTCGCGCGCCATCTGAAACGCGTGTGCGCGCTTCATGTGTGTGCGGCTGTGCGTCAACAGCGCGCGAGTAACGAATCGAGTTCCCTTTCGCCTTTTCTCTCTGGAATTGTTTAAAATTCGCTTGCTTGTGTAAATACGAACAAATGATAAACTTATACTCTATTATGGTTAAA